GTTTTTTTTTTTGGAGAACGGACGAAAATCGGTGCGCGCGCAGGATGTCATCCATAAAATTAAAAAAGTGTGGCCTAACTGTGAAATTTTATTTGCATTTATATGCTCACAAGCAATGTAGATGTTAGTAGTATTTTTTTGCAATCCACAAAAAAAACTTTCTTTATTATTTCCATGTAGAATTTTTAATTTATTGTTACTTCATTTACAGCTCATGTGTGTACTTGTTAGAGTAATTAAGACCAGTTCTGAGCACTGAAATGTTATTGTAATCAACCTGAGTTGATTGCGTGATGTCACACTTTGGTACTAGTTTGGCAAGTACATGTAATGCCAGTAATCCATGGCTGCTGAGTTCATCCTGAAATCAAACTAATTCTTACTGTCTCCCCATGGTGAATATTCTGTGTCACTTTTTCATGACGACAGTGACAATTAGTTTTCTCGGAAGAGGTGTAGTATAGAATATGTCAGATCTCATGCCATGTGCAGCTGAGCATCCAGTATGTGATTGATTAATTTTTTATTCTTCATACAACTGTGCATCAGAACTGTTCTATATTACTTGAGTTGTGACTACAACCTTTTTACGCACTTGTAGTGTTAGAAATGATTTCAATCTTTTCAGAGGTTGTTCAGGCCAATAGATCTACTTTCATGGCAGCTTTAGATACCAGTCTATTTAGAAATTTCAAAATATTGACCAGTTTGGCTTTGCTTCTATTCTTTACAGAAATTATTATTCCTTTATTTTAATTTTGCAAAAATAACAGTATACCATTTTCTTAAGAAAGATTGCTTTTAAGTTCACAAATTATTCAGTTCAAGTTATGTTGTGCTTCCTATGACCCACTGGTTCAGAGTATGTGTCACACTGTAGAAAAAAAGTACTATCCAAAAGACTGAATTTGATGACCTGGCCAGAAAATGGAGTGGCCTTGATTATTTCTAACACTGCACTTGTGTAAATGTTTTGTCATGGAGCTTGCTCTGTGTTGTGTGTCTAGCTGTAGTTCCTCATATTTTGTTTCTTTTATCTCGTGCCAGGATGAAGATGATGGCATATGGGCATAGCATGCATGGCCCACACAGCTGTTCATTCTCCCTGTGTTACTGCATGGTAAACATGTTACTGTTATCTTATAGAACAGAGCACAGTGCACAGGCCTGTGTGTGTGTGTGTGTGTGTGTGTGAGAGAGAGAGAGAGAGAGAGAGCATTGAGAACAGATGATCTGCGGACTAACTGATCTGCCAACTTAATATTGCCGACCCCACTAAAAAGCAGCATTGCTAAATCCCAAGATGGTCTCCCCGCCTCCACACGCACCATTAAACAGATTAAATCTTGGCCCTAAGCTTACATTGCAAGACCCCTGCAGCAACATGTATGAAGGCAGGGAGGCCATTTGCTTTTAAGTGAATCTGCTATATTTAGTCTGGATCTGTTAATCCGGGGATCAACTTTTTCTGAATGCCGTCTGTGTGTGTTTTTGTGAGTGTGCGTGAATGAGAGAAAGAGACGAAAGGTGTGTGTGTGTGTGTGAATGAGAGAGAAAGAGAGAGAGAGAGGAAAAGTGTCTGTTAACTTTGTGTGTGTGAGAGAGAGAGAGAGAGAGAGAGACCCAAATGTTTTGTGGTATTATAAGCCTAAATACTCACAGCAACAAACCGATCTGAGGAAGTCTAGCCAGATCCATAGGGCTTAGACCAATATCAAATTTTTATGCACTACTTCTTGCCTGACTCCCTTACCCTGATTTGAGTGTCTGTGCCTATAAATTATGTTAATACTATCCACAGCTTTCCTGCACTTTGTGAGACCTGCTGCCTTAAAATATGCCCTTTGTTAGGCATTCATTTATCTAAATTGTTGCTTTTACACATCTGTTATTTAAAAGAAAATAAATTTGTTGCAAAATGGAGTTTTGTGAATTGAATAGAATACATTGCATGTATATTACTTTTGATGCCTTCATAATTTAAGGTTTAGTGCTTGACCCCTTTTTACACGTAGTCTTGTCAGCTTCGTATTTAAGCTTTTTTTGGTAGCACATTTTGAAAGTAAAATGATATGAGAGCTTTGACATTTTACCCTGCTGAAAACAACCAGTTTTTGAAAAAAAATGTTTTTAATGGTTTATGTTTAAGTTTTCAGTCAGAGTTCATTTTCATGTGCTATTAATTACAAGTTATGTATACCTATTACAGGGCTGGCCTAAGAAGTAAACCAAGCAGTCTCATGCCCTTGACCTGCAGTGACCTTGTAAGCAGTGACCTTGACATACAGTGGCCTTGACATTCAGCAACAGTGGGAAGTGTCTTTGCAGTATCTTTTACTGATTGAACAGCGCCAACTGTTTCACAATTTCCTGAATTTGACAATTTCAGGAAATATAAAAGAACTTCCATCACTTATAAAGTAGGTTCTTTCAAAGCCAGTGTTTGCAGTATGTTGCCCAAAGGAATGGCAAAGGGCAGAGCATCTTCTTTCCAGAGAAAAAAGATGACTGCAGCCAAAAATTGTAACTTCATATCTAGTAAAAGAAAATCACTGAGCTTCAACAAATGGTCATCAGGGACAGTATCCTCGAAAGTTCAAATTTATATGGCAGAGAGGGCGAGAATTGATTCACAGAGGACCCAAATGAAAATGCTATATGAAAAGAATTGATTCACAGAGGACCCAAATGAAAATGCTATATGAACAGAATAGCTAGCTTTTGCATTGACACCTAAGAAGGAACTTGAGGCCACTTCTGTTGGGTTTCTTACAGTGAAAAAGTGATGTTCCAGAGATGAAACATGCCCTCATGTATGGTACTGTGATACTATTTCACCTTTGCCGATGTAGATTTCTGTTTGCTAGTGCTCTAGATAAAACATCTGTTCTTTAATGATAGATATAATTCTTAATAAAAACAGGTTGCTTTTGATGCACAATTTGCCTCAGATGTTTGAAATTCAAAATATGCAGCATTTTGTAAAGTGCTTCAGTTGTTGTCTGCATGGTTTGATTTCATGCCTTAAGCAGTAGAGTATGAAAGATGATATGATGGGGTCCAAATAACATTGACATTTGTCTTCTCGGCCTAAAATTTTGTTTCTTTTTAACTTTTGACAATTTTTCTTGCCTCCTTACAAGGAAATGCTTGTATGTCAAAATATCCAAGCGAATATAGTATTGCCGCCATACTGGTATGTTTACACATCTATTTGGTATTAAAGTGGTGCCTTTTCACCAGTTATTAGAAAATTATTATTAGTATTATTATTATTATTTGGTTTAGATACATGTCACGTTTTAGAATTTTTTTTAAGTCAACATTATTAACGAAAATCGGGTTTTACCATGACATGCTAAATTACATTTTAGGGGTGTAACTTGTTTTTCTCTTCTTACCTGGGGAAGTGCAACAATGTTTTACCAATTATTAAATAGAAAATTTTATATAAGTGAAATGTTAAATGTCAAAAGGGGTGCACATCATCATTTTTAGAAGTCCTATACACATTTATTAAGAAAGTTCAGAGGTAGTCAAGTATATTATTGTAAACAGTGGATTTCAGTAAGGTATTTACGGCAGTAGATTGATGAAGATCTAAAACGTTTTTGTTGTCCTCTACATTTATGCCATTTATTTTTGGAAAGGGCATGTGACAGCCTAGAGTAAATGAATTCCTTATACTTTTAGCTCTTGATTGTCACTTTGGTACATTGCTTACAACTAGTATCACTTTTCATGCCATTTAATGATTTGCAATGCCAATACCTAAACAGTGTGATTGTCTTTCCAAAGAAACGTCTCCCCCGTTCTACAATGCTGTGTAATGGTATGCTTATTGTGTTGGTTCTAACAAATCAGGTTACCAGGCGTCTCTGTAGTTTGTAACAAAATTGAACGAATGTCTTTAAGCAATTTTGTAACTATCTACAGAGACACCTATCGGAGGAAAGATGAGTTTGCCTCTTCAGACGAATAATCATTAGTGTTTGATTGTTTTTTACCTTTTTGTAATAGGTGAAAAAAATTAACACCTTATCAGTTATAGACAGTAGTTAAAAAGGTAAATTGGAGTACAAGTGCCACTGCCACGTTTAATGACAAACGCAGGAGACATGTTTCCTCTGTATATTGGGGAGATTTGCAAAAGCAGTATTGGGTACGGGGCAGTTTTCAATTTGTGCATGAGCAAAGTGTTTCTTATTTTAAAAAGAATAAAATTGTAATGTTAAGACTTGTCTATGGGATATTCGTAAAGATGTCTTAAATATTTTCCAAGCTGCATAGAACCAAGAGTAAATAAACGTGCACATGTGCATGTCGGGATTGTGTAAACTTTGCATTTGAGGTGAATTGTTTGTAATAAGAATTTTGAGTCAAGATAAGAGAAAAAATGTCTCGTGTTTGTGTGGCTATTATCAGTATTGGTATAGACTTGAATTTATGTAATTGATAGAATCTCATGAATTTGTAAATACACTTGGGTATGCTACAATATATGTATTTTTGCGTACAAGTTAAATTATACACGATGTCCTCTGCCTTTTCATATGCACAGGGTATGCTTGAAAGTTACTTTTGTTTGCGATTTTAATAATGATAATAATATTGCATTGTGTATAATAGTCACATCATTGCAAATATTATAGTACAAATATTATAATATGTCCTTTTTATTTATTTATTTAATTATTTATTTATTTATTTTTTTTTTTTTAGGGGGGGCTTATTTGATCCAAACGTTATTTCACGCCATGCTGATAAAGTGTTACGTTAAAGGAAAGAGGATATTTTATACACGCTGATGTTTGTGACACAAACACGTTTACACCTTTCATGTTCCCAAAAAGGTGGGAGTAAAATTGATCACGTCTTAAACATACTGACTTGCTCGTCAAATATTTACCTGTGGTTTGCCCTGCTGTTGAGAGCGTTGGGTCTGTATTTTGTCTTGCGTTAACGTGTACCAAATCTTAACGAATTCATTATAACCCTATCTTATTGGAATCGAGATGAAAATTGGTGTCTTTTATGTTAGAAATGTATGACGTGGATATCACGGCGTCGCATAGCCTTAGCAGTAAAATCACGAAAACACTGTATCCGCAAAATGTTCTGTTAATTTTATGGTGCTAATAAAAATTGGAAACACTGAAATTCTTGTGTCACCTCCCAGTCTGTTTTCTTGGTGTATAATCTTATAGAAAGAACCGTTTGCACAAGCGCCGGTCAAACCCGACTACTATTTCCAACCAAAATGAACCCATCTTAATAGAATCTTTCAAATTTGACTGTTTCATTAATATTATTACTCTATTTCTTCATTTATTTATTATTTTTGAAGACTAGATAGTTGACGTTCATTACTTTATCCGTTGGTTTTCTGTAAATTTGAAGTTTTTGTGCAAAAAAAAAGTAAAAGCATATTAGAAGAGCGCGTGATTGACGCAAAATGTTAAAGCAAACAACGCACATTAGAACTTTTCCCCGGTCCAAAATCATGGATATTTCAACAAATTTCCTGAAAGATTATCACAAAAACCAAACTATTTAGAAAAAAGTGAATTCATTTACCATTGGTAAGTATGGGAAAATTGCCGTTCACCCCAGGAAAATGTTTTTTTTTTTTTTTTGGCCAAAACGCACAATTTTCATCCTTTTAACAGGGTGTGGAAGTTAAATGTAGAAATAATTCCTAGAAGCAAGTGGGCTAATTAAAAGAAAGAAGGATGAAATATTTGTTAAAAATTTTATTTTTATCTTTGTGGATATAATAATATGCAAAAAGATATGTATAAACAGCTGCTTTCAAATTTAATCGCCTGGTGATTGTAATTGAACTCATTTTGCATTGATTGCATAATACAAAAAACTTTAGTAGTTAGATACAAATGATCAAATAACTTGAATATGAATAGAAGTATCAAAATTTAAATGATAAAAAAAGAATACGTATCGTATTTGAATACAGTTTTCAAACTCCTCATTTTTCTATTGTTTTACTTTTTCAATATTTTCTAAAGCCACAAGCGTAGTTTCTGACTACACATACATTATATAATCTTCAAAACTTTTGAAACAATAACTAAATTTTGGACGGTTACATGTAAATGCAATGGAACGAATAAAATAATTCCTTGCATGGGTAAATGGCTGAATTAGCCACAGGTAGGACTACGAACACTGTAGGCAGAGAGCAACACGTTTGGTCTAAACAAGCATCCCTAGTATCAAGTAATAATAATAATAAATGATTAATATTTCTTTAAAATTAGTTAAACAACATTACAGTTACACCTTTTTTTAAACAGTAACATTGCCAATAGAATTCGAACAATGTTTATATCATATTGAGCAATATTTCTATATTCTATAAGCAAATAAACAAGCTAAAGAAATTAATAAAAAGAAATAATGTGAATTCATGCACTCACCCTTTTACCAAATAATTTTGGTTGGTCAATCATTGTTAGTTTCTTAGACCCAAAATTAAGGCAGAGAGCCACACGTTTGGTCTAAAACAAGCATCCCTAGTACCAAGTAAGCTCTGTACATATAGTAAATGATTAATATTTCTTTAAAATTAGTTAAACAACATTACAGTTATTCTGTTTTTCAAACAGTAACATTTTCCGATAGAATTCAAAGAATGTTTATATCATACTGAGCAATATTTCTATATTCTATTAGCAAGCTAAAGAAATGAATACAAAGAAGTTCCGTGAAATCAACCACCCCTTTACCATATAGATTAGATTGGGCAATCATTATTAGACCCAAAATTTAAAAAAAAATTCATTAAAATGAAGCAAGAAATTAAGTTGCATGTTATACACGCATTTCCTCCGTTGTTGATCAATAGATATTGCATTCTGAAAGCAGCCAATAAGATAAGTTGGTATTTTAAACAAAAAAGACACAACATAAACTTTGAAAGTAAATCTTCACCGGGTCAAATAAAATATTTAGATGTTTATCAAATATCTGGGTGTCTTCAGATAAGAAAGAAGGAGAGAAACAGTCAATCTTTCTACCCATGTACATGTATAGGCCTAAATCCGTTCCTCCATTCAAATCTTTCTATATATATCAATTAAAAGATGAAATATGTCTTTAAAATATAAAGGCTTTAAGCATTCGTTTCACGACGCCTTATAACAATGACCATAAATGGTTTAAATAGCATAATAGTTTTTTCAAAATCTAAATTCAATGTCTGGCCAAAAAAAAATGGAATGTTGTGTAGGCCAATGTGCGTAATACCCGGAACCGGAAGTAAACCATAAGTACATAAGTAATAAAATCTTTACGATAGACCTATACATAAAACACAATCACAACAGTGACTGCACCCTGTAGGAATGTGTTGCAAAGTAGCTGGAATGATAAGGGTAATTTGTTATCTCGACGAAAAAAAGATTGCTGTGACATTGAACATTCCCTGTTCAATAGGAATTATGGATTGTGACCAGAAGTGGACTAAACCGCCGCATCTTCCTTCTCACTAGTAAAACCTGTAGGCATTAACTGAGACCCCGTGGCACTGCTGTAGCCGCTTTCTTTATTCTTTTCGTCCGGCACTTTAAGTCTCCCTGTGGTAACTCTTCGAATTCCGGCGGCCTCTAGCCCAAGGAGTCTTTGTACCCATTGTGGTTCTTCGCCCTCACTCCCACAGAGAAAACCCTGAAGAAAGATAACAAATACATCTTTTCGCTGGCGCGCATCATGTTTCATATACATGTAATTCATTCGGATGCAAATGAAAATAATGCAATCTACGCGTATTTGTCAGATGTTGTATACCTGGAGTCGCTTGATTTCTTCCTCAACGGGGATGACGTCATTGAGTATGATGTGCAGCGTGGTGGTCTGCTCAGAGTCCTTCTGCCTGACGTTCACTTCGCACAGCGCCTTCTCCTTATCGTCACATTGCAAATGAAACCCTGCATAGCCCTTATTGCAACTGTTCACCACCATCTCGTCTATGGACTGAAATGTTAAAAAACAGAAAAATCAGGAGTGAATATAAATTATTGTTATACGTTACAGTCCAGTTTCACAAAAAAAATTACGTCAGTTCCCTGGCTTACACTGCTCCTGATAGGGTAAGGTGTGCCCATGTGACCATGTAACCATGGTAATAAGGTTCTTAGCCAGGGAACCTGCCTTAATTTTTTTTGTGTAACCGGGGCCAGTTAACACATCTCGTTGTAGCCAAATAACTACCACATTGATGCACAAATGTATTCCTAAATGGTGCGCATACTTAATACAGTATCACCCACAGTTTTCCCATCTACTTTCTCTCATTAAGGCACATCCGCGGAAAAATCGCCAGCTATTTGTAAAGAAAGAAAAGAGGCAATTTACTTTTTGCGCTCTCCTTCTGAAAACTTGGACTAGGAGAATACTAGCATATATACAAATGAAGAATGCATATACAAAGAGGTAAAGAGATGGAAAGAAAGAAAACGAACGCCAGTGAACTGTGCACATATATAGTGGAACAAAGGGAGTGTGTGGAAAGACATTTTACACTTAGGCTTTCACATATAAGGTTAGAGACACTACCCCAACGCACCGCAAAGAAAATTTGAACATCATATTATATTTTATCATCCAATTAACAACAATCGTGTAATGTGATTGGTCAAAAATAACCTAGCATATATTTCTACCTTGTCTGTTCAATTGGAGGATACGGAACTGTTTGTCATTGTCAATCGATTATTATATTATATTATATTATATTATATTATATTATATTATACATACATGTGTGCTTTCTCCCATCAGTGAGCATCCTTCAATAGCTTTTAGATTTATCACCAATGGCCCCTTTCCTTTTTGAAATTGGAGTACCTTCGCCTCTACATAGCGGCAGTCACTTGTTAAAGTGCTCTGGGAGTCTTGGAGCCATTGGACTTGCTGAAGCTGAAACAAAGGCGGGTATCGATGTCAAACAATAAATATATATTTTTATTATAGCTCAGTGTTGGAGTAAAGTTGAAAAAACAATGCCAATACATGCATTATTCTCTGTTGCCTACTTTTACCACATCTGTATGCCACGATATACCAGTATATACTACATCTCTTATTGCCACAGGAATATTTTTTAAATAGAAATATATTTGAATGGTTTACTTGCACTCATATATCGTTCGATGATCAAATCTTACCCTCAAGAGCTGGTCATCTTTGATCATCCAATGGACCGTTCCCTCAAACCGACCCTTCGCATACTGACGGACAAACATGCAAACATACAGAAATTTTGTCGGACAGCCTTCCTTCTTGGCGGAAGAAGGACCAGCATCGCTTGGAACTGGTTCCTTTCTTTCAGTGTTTTCTTCCGGTGGGTCTTCGTCGTGTTCAACTGGGTAGTCATGGCGGCGGTCGATAACCCGGTATCTGGTGAAGTGGTGAAGCTGAACCGAGACACTGTCGTCTGCTGTTCTGAGCAAAGCTGTTTGCGGTTCCATTTGCCATCGCGAGTCTCCGTTACTTTGCGAGATGACGGCCAAGTGCCGGAGGTCTGTTTTGACTGCGCAGTGGCCCAAAGTGAGAGTGACTGCCCTCTGGAATTGCAGGCCGTCTGGTCCACATTCAATCGTAGGGGTATAGGTTACGGCGCAACCGTTGTGGTATTCCGTCTCATAATCAGCATACAGGTAGATCACGGTTGGCAGCGTGACAGCATCTTGTGGCACATACAACCGAGTCCGTCCAACAGGAAGGCACAACTCTCCGCCATCTTTGTCGAAGACGCCGATTTGGAAACGCGGGTCGGTTTGGTTAAACCTTTCTACATCTATAAGCCATGGTTGATTGTATGACTGTTCAACGTGCCGGATAAGATCTGGAATTGATGCTGTGGAAGGCATATGGTGAATATCCTTATCAGGCACGGTGGTAATAGTTATTTTGCTATCGGTTGTCTTTTTGATGCTTGTGTCCATTTCGGGTGGATTTTGTTGCTCAGTATGTGTTAGCGAGGAGCCAGAATCCAAGCGAGCGCGTTTACCTGGTTCCTTCAGATAGGCAGCCATCTTCACAGATTTTGATTTTGAAAGATGATCTCTTTTCTGTTCCTGCGTTTCGGTTTTCGATACATATGAGCTCTCTGGCGTCCCTGCTTCTTCCATAACGGAAAGCTGTGTGGATTTTCTATTAAGATTTTCGTAAACTTCAATGACCGCACTTTGATCACTTACGGACTCCAAGTCCGAGTACTCAGTGAAGACAGAATCTCTACCTATGGAAAGCGACCTATCTGACGTGCGGTCGATTTGTCGATTTGAAGATGCGCTTGCACCGTTTCTTAGTGCTCGGAGATGGTCAGATTCATTCGATAGTCTTATATCGGAGTTGCTCTGACCTATTCCACTGTCACGAACAAGCCGTTGTGATGTCAATGGGTCTATTGTGTTCGCAGTTTTCTTTATACTTAAAGCAACAGAGGGGTTTCTCGTTATAGTGGCGACTGGGAGACTTTTACTTCTTAGAAGTAGGTCTGAGGAAGCAATGGGCTCTTTCGCAGGGTCTTGGTTGGGTAGATCTTCCCTTATGAGGTCACTTTTAGATTGTTGTTTCCTTTCAATCAAACTGCGCTTGAATTTTGTTGCACCGGAGTCCGGTAGCCCTAATTCTGTAAGCTCTCTTCTTAAAATATCAGATTTTTCGTTGTTTGATCGTGATAATGGCGTCGAAGCGCAATTCACCCCCAGATTTCCAGTCTCACAATAAGAAGATTCTGTTTGGAGCGCCACATTTGACGGATTTGTAACACGTGCCTCGCCCTCTGCGGTATTGCTAGTGTTGGTTGAGTTCTCCCGATCTGAGCTTACATCAAAAGATTGTCTCACCTCTGGGACTTGTTTTGCGATCGAAGAGGTGTGTGATTCTCCTTGGGGTGGAGGTGTCTTTGGACTCGAGGTTACAGCACCGCCTTGTCGTGACAATTTACGCCAACCAGAGATCAAGGAGACCGAGGAGTACGAATTATCAGGTGTGTCTTGGCGTGTCTCTCTCTGACTGGAGTTCAAGCCAATGGATAAGGGAATGGATCGACGGATGGATATACGCTGTCTCTAAAATATATGTAGGACGTTATTCAAACGTTTTTGATAAGAAAAGCTATTTGATGTCTCGTCCATGAAGATTTTTCTTATTTTGAACAAAAATGGTTTTCTGATTATTTTTTTTTACTGTTTCGCTATTTGACTACAATAATTCGAATACTCAGAAATATTTTATACTGCAAAAAAGAAATGAATTACATTGTTTGGCAATATGTGTCGATGGAATACACTGTTACTGCATGCCTCAGCCTAAACGGGGGTTGCAACTGCACAGAATTCTATCGAACTGTTTTTGTTTGTTTTAATTGACACAATGTAAGACAATATTATTGGTTTGATAAAAGTTGAAAAAAAATTCACCCCCCCCTCCCCCGTATGATGCATTTAATCTCTATCGAACACATAAAACTTACCTTCCTAATACGTTTGTAAACAACAATGAGTGCTACAATTAATGCTATCACCAGCAATACAGCAAAAGCAAACGGCGCGAGTACGAGGGCCGTGTACCCGTCTTTCGCTGCACTATACACCGAGGATTTACAGTCCGTTTCAGCGGGACCGAAGCACCCAACGTCGTGGCAGCGTTGGTCACAAGCTGAGCACGTGGCAGGTAAGTCAGCTCTGGGGTAGAAGGTTGTTTCGTTGCATACTTTCACACAGGTCCCTGATTGGTTGAAGTGTACGCAGATGAAACACTGGGTTGGTTCTGGGCCGAAACAGCCAGAGCACTCTTCGTGGCAGCCGGGTTCTTGGCTCGAATACTGCTCCTGTGTATCCAAGTAAGGTGTTGTGTTCACCGAGATCGGGAGTTGTGAAGTAGAATATGCAACGTTCTGTAAAACAAAAATGTAAGTAGAGTATGCTAAAAAGAGCAATTACGATAACGCTACGTAAGTGAGACGGCCAATTCTCAACTAGTTGAATATTCGGGAGCAACAGTTATAATGCAGATGTGCTACATATATGTGAAACATATATACATATATATATATAGGCTTTTGGTCACATGCTTATTTAAAAATACAAATTGAATATTTCACGAAATTTCACCTAACAGATGCAGATACGGAAGATACGCTCGTGACATAACCCATGACAGTTAGTCACACTAAGTTACAGCAACATCAATCAAAGATAGTAAGTTTAGCGTGTAAATCAATTTATCGAACATGTACAAGGTGTGCAAACAAGGAAGGCGTCAACATTCACCTGGGATTGGATAACCCTAGCTGTACTTCCTGGTTTCTCAACAGGGGATAAGTAGGGGGGGGAGTAATTGTCCCCTGAATATTGCTACCGATATCTTCTATCAATTTTTCACAGTACTGTATATGAGCACGGTGCGAGCTACAGTAGCTAAGCTGATTCATCGGAAAAAAATATAGATTGAAGATACAGGAAATACAATTGGTTCAATAATCTCTTCAATATTTTTTTTTCATCTATTTGTTGTCCGTTTATATCCCATGTGATTAGCTTTATTAACATGGTTTGAGCGTAGAATACGCTTGATTTTGAATTCTAGTATAGTACGCCGTTAAAACAACCCTCAGCCTGTCTCTTCATGTAGCCTTAGTTTATACTAGATAACGCATGTTTAATTAATAAACATATAAATAAATTTGTGACAGGTACTCCCCCTTAAATTGGCTACAGGGTGATTTTACTGTTTTTAACAGAGAACCCCAATAGACCATTAGAGACTATTCCTACATGTACCTCTGTATCACCGTATCTTGATGCTGACAGTGTGTGAGAAGCATGACAGTTAACGTTCTTTACCCGGGTTCATCTTTATTCTCACATCCAAAGGCGAGACAGGTTATTGCCGACAATAATGTATATCCGCTGAATTGAATTTGATATACCCGAATAAGATAATCAATAATGCCCATGATGATTGTTATCTTTGGTAATCACAGTGTAAGTAACGCTGTCAATTACAGAAGGAATAAGGGGTGGTATCAGGTCTTTGAAAAATGTGGAAATAATTACAAAATTGATATCAGTTTTGATTGCTGTTCATATGAAACTAAGTTATGCCACTCCCCCTCCACCCCCACCCCCTCAAAAAAGATCATAATGTTATACTGGCTTTGAATAACAAAACTGTTTTGATTGATGGTATGGCATTCCTCACATATTCCCCGATTAACATGCATGTCACCTCTTTTTTTATAAAGAGCATGACTCTGTTAAAATGTGGACGTTGAAATACTTTGCATTGCTGACTTCGCATTAAGATAAACAGTTTATTCAAATGCCCTGTTGAACATATTTACTTAATGCAATGATGGATGTCTGGGGGATCCTGACCATCCCGTTCGATTGCTGATTCCAAAAAAAAAAAAACGCACCAAAATGGTCTAGCAGAATCATAGTTCTAAACCGTACCATTTGCCCTCTAAAACACCATTTTTTTTCGGGGCCCTTAAACGTGTCCTAAATCTGAATCCAAGGGGGTGAGGGTCGGCCTCGTAATCCGAGGCCTGTCAATTCCTAAAGAACTGGACCCACCTTCAAAAAATTCTGGGTTCGCCCCTGTAATGACACTTTAAAAGAATCGACCCCCCTTAAAAATGCGTATGAGCTCGAAAACAATGTTTGTTTAACCAGTCTACCAGAACTTCCGCATTGTTACGTGTCCATAATAAAAAAAGCTTTCAACCCACACCTGTGTTGTGTGATAAGATGAAACTAGTCATTTTTTACACTAATTTAAAGCTGTACCTTACAGACCTTTCGGTCACTGTGCCTTTCTTCAGCGTGTGTTATTAGGAGGCTGGGCGACCTGTACATGTGTTGTTGTTTTTATTAGGAGTTACGCGTTAAATATTCCACATATCGTACATTATTCAGACTATAAGGACGCATTCAGATTCACACATCATACTACTTGGGTCGGCCCAACTCTGCGGGGGATTCAAGCTAAGGTTCAATCAGTAGAATCAGCTTGATCAGCCCACGAAAGTTAATTACTCCCTAGCTGCTGGAGGAGGCGTGCCAGACAGTTAAGCTGAGTTTGCTGATTGCACTCTGCAAAAATCTCCCTCAGAGTTGGACCGACACAGCTACTACGATGTGTGAATCTGACAGCGGCCTTAGGCATAAATATTATGCATTACATATATGCCAGTAATAAAATAGGGAAAGTAGAGGAAGAAGGCGCTTCACAATACCTTGAGTGTATTTGAACTTATTAAAGAGAAAAAAAAACAAGAAAAGAAGTATCAAGATATAATAATATTTCCACAGATTGAGGATAGGCCTATCGTGCACAGCCCTCATCAGTGTAACCTTACATCTACGAAATTTACGCTTTTATGTGTATATGCTTATTTTACATATCTTTGTTTAACGAATTTGTTTGACTTAAGAAATTGTATAGGCCTACTGGTGACGCGATACATTTTAAGAAGTGTAATATAACAGTGCACCTGTCTATGTGCACGACAGTCCCATGCACACAATGAAACGGACTGGGGGCTATGCATTCTAGGCCGGATTTTTGCCTCGGGGTGCCCTCGGCCCTCCCAACAACTATGGTGACCCCATTGCAGGTAAACAAAAACATTGCTATTTACTTCTTAACTTCAATTTTCCTACTTTTTGCTTTTTTTTTTCTATCTTTCTGCGTCATCCAAATATCAATTTGATCATCTTTGTTAAGCCATTGTTCTTTTTTATGTGTGGGTATCGAAATCCGGGAGATGGGAAGGTTAACCGGTTCCCAAGCACGTGCTTATAGTATGTTTGTACACAAATCCCGCTCTGCACGTATAAACACCTTACCTGAGGAATGTGCGTCTCGGTGTCATTGGACACGTTGATTCCAGAAGTGGTCTCTCCCACCGGCTTGGCCCACACCGCGTTTTCCCCAACGACGAGCAAAGTGGCAGCACTCACGGCTAAAAGCAAGTCAGAATACAGCACTACTGTCATTGTTGTTTAGTCCCCTAGGTAATACTACAGTGTAACAGATAACCAATTACGTTGAATTCGTTCCCTTCATGGAATTGTTCCTGGAACTTTCCTCGAAGATCAAGCAGGAAGTTGATATACGAGGGCCTGGCACCGTTCTGTGTATATTCAGTCTTTCACCGCGTTTGTTGTCACAAGGAGGGATTTCCCCGTGAAGTATACCGCATACCCTCTGATGCTAATAATAAATTCGACTGTCGATCTAGGTCAGAGTGACTTACTTTTATTCACCTTTATCGCTGCAGCTGATAAACGTTCAAATCTCTCTCTCTCTCTCTCTCTCTCTTTCTCTCTCTCTCTCTCTCACACACACACACACACACACACACGCATGTATGTGCGAATGCACAGAATACTGTATATGCTATCGGTATCTCGGACAATACACCTGCAAAGGAATGTTTCGCCACAGTTATGTGACTTTATGACATATTTATAAGAATAACTGTTAAAGCATAGCGCTTATTCAGAATCCTAGTCATAAACTAGAAGACACCACGCTATATACCGACAGAACCCGCGATTAGTTTACATTTTTCTCGCCTCAGGGGGTACATTCAAATGTGTGTTTATTGATTCGTATTTATTTTAATTGCTGCACCATAGACCCCACCAAAACACTGCAATTGAATATATCACGAGAAAACCCTGATATTTCCATAACGAAAAACGGCTATCCGCCGTTATATATGCCTTCGTTTTAAAGCCCCAGAACGCCATACTAAGCTTAACATAATAATGGAAAACAATGTATAAAACCTGCACCGCACTTAATTTTTATACTATTTTCTGCATGTACTCCTGTCAATAACACAAACACACACGCACGCACACACACACAAACACACACACACACACACACACACACACTTGTATAGCTGGGAGGGGGGGAGGAAGTACTTCCTGGTACAGCAGTATGGTTAAGTTATGAAGTTCCAATGACGTCTCTATAGGCCTGGAATTAGTTTAAGTGACTAAGAGAAAAAAAAAACTAATTGCAGTGAAAAATGCGTTGCTGCTGTAAAATGCAGCTCCACATTGATGTTCTCTGAGGTGTCAGTTACCATGACAACATCACATCCGGGAGCCAGCAAATATTTCCAATGGGAGTGGGAGAGGTCAGAGTTCAAACTTCCGTCCACCTATCACATATTCGATATCAAGATGGGGGATCCCAAGAAGTGTGCATGACGTCAATTCATAAAAGCCGATATGACATTTCTATAGCTGTGATCCAGAGTGAGTGTATTTCCTTGTCGCCATAGCTTTCGTGATGATACAGATGATAAGCGTGAAATCATTCCTATCTGAATCCCGTGTCATGAGCAAGCAGAGACAACCGTTTCTGAGAAAACAATCAAACGCATTTCTCTAATTTAATTTCCTCATATGCAATTAAATACGATCAAGCGTATGGCATGACATGGCTATAAGCGCCGAAAGAAAAAAATAATAGTATAGACTAAATAAATAAATGATTAAGAATGTATGGGAAAAATACTGTAAAATGAGTTGGGTAAAAAATGACTGGATTCACTTTATTTCTTTCTTTTTTGACCACACCCAATTCCCACACGAGGCGTTTACTTGTGTGAAGACTCAACCCCATGCCGTGCACTCAGTATAATAGTGAATTGTCACTGTTAAAGAAATACGATTTTACGCTCATTATTCTGAAATTCTTAAGAGATGAATCAAGGCTTTCAACATTGCTGGGGGCATACATTGTAGAAATCACTTCCCACCCAATGGGTCTCTCATTGAAGAATTGAAACGCTTCCATCCCCTCCATGAAAATTTCCAACGCCGACGACTTGATGAGTAGGTGGCGCAAAATTAATTCCTGGTACGGCAGAGATTGTGTTCGTCCCTAGGGAGTATAGCCTAAGCTAGGATTACAAGGGTGGATATACGTAAAAAAGCGCCTTTTTACTGCAGGTATACATCAAAATGAAAAAAAGAAAATAGCATCAAGCGATGCAAGTCAGTATTCAATAAAGGTGAAATAGAATAAAAATTCCTGGGGTAAAGAGCTATTTTATCCTATTCACAAACTATTGTTTGATCCTCTAAACCTGCACTTCCAATGGGATTCAATGTTTTATTCCATTTTTCAGTTTAATACTTTACTTATAAATGACTTGCTAGTCAAATGACATCTGCCGTCACGCGATTGCCTCGTTTTCACACAAGAAAGGGTCTTTATCGCGGCCCTGTGTTGTATAATACAACTGGCAATGGCAACCTGAAGAGGCTGAAAAGATAATAATGACACAAAGTTCGCTTATGATAACCTTTTGTTTAAGGGTTTATAGTCTGTAGATTCTGATTGGGAAATATAAGAATCTTTAGAGGACATAAATATGACCGAGGAAGTTTTCAAACACGTGGAGAGAAACTCAAAAATGATATCATTCAGGCAGAAAATGTCGTGGAGAGCACCTTTAAGCAAATCGAGTTTTAGGAAATAAACTTTCTACAAACAGACAAAAGGGGCAGTATCACAATAATAAAGTCATCGACACAAGTGAAAAGCGCCAATCTCTCTCTCTCTCTCTCTCTCTCTCATAACAATAAAAACTAAGAAAAAATATAATATAATTGTGTACTTTAATAGTGATTTATTATTTTTCTTTGACTTTGTTATTTATGTTTTATTTTTGAACATATAGTAGAATTAATTTAGGATTGACGTTAAAAAGATCTGGTAATATTAACAATAAGGATTTTTCAATTGATGATTAGACTCTCTCTCTCTCTCTCTCTCTCTCTCTCTCTCTCTCTCTCTCTCATACACCAACGCACACACACGCACACGCACGCACACACACATACACACACACACACACACGTGCGCTGACTTTTCGTCCGGACCGTCGGTTTACTTCCAATCTTGTTAGGCCACCTTGAGCCTTGAAGAATTTCACTGCTCCAGTGTCTTTTCTGGCTGACCCTGTCAGGACAGATTGGGTCGTCTGGACTGAGTCTGAACTTTACCTGGTCTGTGGAGAATAGCAGGTATGACATACCAGATTGCAAAATGCGTTTGGTGCGAAACGCGGCTCTACATGGTCCCTCCATTTCTATTGATTACTCTGTGTGTGTGTGTGTGTGTGTGTGTGTTTGTGTGTGTCTTGCTCTCTCAAACCGTTTCGTCTATGTCTATCCCCATATTTTGCGCTTTACCCCTTCCTCATCCCCCCCCCTCTCTCACACACCCCCGCGTGCCTTTCCCTTGAACATGAATAACCTGTACATCGCTAACGTACAATAATACTACTTGTGTACAGTACAGAAAATAACTACAAACTTAGACAAATGAGATGGTCCTTTCACAGTGTATCGACACTATAGATATGATAAGGACCACTTGAACTTAGATATATACGGCAATACACAGCCGTGTAATAACTATTTAGCCGCATGCATGTATAAGTGGGCAATATGTAACTTTGACCTGCCGATAAAGTGTGAACATAGTGGACGCTGAGACATAGGTTAGGAAACAAGGTTACACTTAAACCAGGAAGTAATTGCGTCTCGCAATTCAACATGCATTTTTAATGTCCACTGGAGGTTTTATGTAGCTTTATAAGCTCCACAGGCGAACAACAATGTTTCCCTGGAGATTGTCGTGGATTCTCTGCCTACTTTGTGCTTGTAAAATAGCACTTACGGGGTCTCAGGGTAGGTAAAAAGATTAAATACCATACAATACAAAATTCAGAATCCACGGTTCTTAACATATGATATGTGTGTAGCATTACTTGTTTTTCATAATATTCATGCATAACAGTTCATTTAATTATATAAATGAACCTTGTTTTATTACGATTATTGTTGAACTGGAGACAGCATTCAGCATTTAGACTTCCCTGTTCTGTGTGAGATGATGCACTTTTGTATACAACTGGTTTCATGTTTCAATTCTTTATTTTGTTGCGACTGTCCCTTATTCTCTAATTTTAATTTACAGAATTGACGCTGTCTTCTTTTTGGGTTTCAAGTGTGACTGGAATGGTAGTCCGCTAGAAACCTTAGTCTGTTCTCCATCACTTTGTACAGGCGACATTCGTCCTACCTATTTATGTACTAAACCCAATACTTCGACTAACTCTAACCTATACTAATCATGTGGGACCCCGAACTTCCAATCGTACAACTGTAGGACTACCATTCCTGTCACACCGGCAGTGTGTTTTGACACGCATTACTACATGTAATTGAATAATTTTTCTCTTATAAGGTTTTTGTCATGTAGATACTAATCATATTCCGCTTACTGTATTTCAGCTAATGACGACAATGCCATATACACTTATAAGGTATCCGTCAAGACAGGTACAAGCCAATATTCGCATGCACCAACAACTAACGATGTTTCCATTACCTTGCATGGGGACGAGAACACGTCACCTACGCTACGGTTTGATGTTAAACCCCAATATGGCAGGTAAAGATTAGAAAAACATATCGCCTGAAAATTTGAATGATGAACGGTTTTCTTTAATACAAAAATGTGCCTAATGGCATTATATTATATTATAATTGTACTTTCCAAAGTGTTAAATTTTACGGAATTCATGCAACTGAGAGATCTAAAAATATATATATTTAATGAGATATGATATTATATGTATAATTTAGCTAATGAAAATATACAATTATATCATGTGTCGGTTATGATNCACACACACACACACACACACACACACACACACGTGCGCTGACTTTTCGTCCGGACCGTCGGTTTACTTCCAATCTTGTTAGGCCACCTTGAGCCTTGAAGAATTTCACTGCTCCAGGGTCTTTTCTGGCTGACCCTGTCAGGACAGATTGGGTCGTCTGGACTGAGTCTGAACTTTACCTGGTCTATGGAGAATAGCAGGTATGACATACCAGATTGCAAAATGCGTTTGGTGCGAAACGCGGCTCTACATGGTCCCTCCATTTCTATTGATTACTCTCTCTCTCTGTGTGTGTGTGTGTGTGTGTGTGTGTGTGTGTACATGTATGTGCCTTGTTCTCTCAATCCGTTTCCGTCTATGTCTATCCCCATATTTTGCGCTTTACCCCTTCCCCGCCTCACCCCCCCTCCCCTCTCTCACAGCTGCCCCCCCCCCCCCGCGTGTCCTTCCCTTGAACATGGATAACCTGTACATCGCTAACGTACAATAATACTACTTGTGTAC